TTTACTTTTCAGGGGTGTAGCAACGGGGGAGGGGGAGACCCCCCCCTTACTTTTTCCGCGACCTAACTCACACTATAGGAAATGTTGATTGAAGGTGTGGTTTTGTTTTGTTTTGTTTTTGCTTGTCAACTTTTTCAGGTAATGAAAAAAAAATCTCTGCCTGGCCAACACTTTAAATTACGGTGCTACGTGCCTGCTCTTTGATTCGACACATATTTTGGGTTTAGCGACAACAGCAAAATATGGACTTTGTCATTATAATCATATGTGAGGCGGGGTATTATTTAGTGAGCTCATTGCTCACAATACCTCTAGTTTCTATTTCAATTTGGGCGTGTGGGTTAATTTCTTGTCCAAATTAAAATTATTATTCAATTTATGAAGTTTCGACATCCCGCCTGAGAAAAATTCTCGATCAGTTCTAAGGCTTAATAAATCGTACGGCACAAAGTGCGTAGGATCTTAAACCTATTATTGCCCTAACGGATAGGAGAGGGAGAGAGAGAGAGAGAGAGTTCAATATACAAAAGAGGTACTAAAAATTATCCGTATTCAACCAGTGTCAAGTATCCCTACCCTAACTCTTAAAATTATCTCTCAAATACTTTTAAAGAAATTATGTTTATATAAAAAATGGCTAGACTATCAAGCAGGAATACTGAAATCTCGAAAGACTCTCTGTAACAACATAATACAGTTACATTCCTCAAAATGCACATACTTTGTGGTCGGAGTGACCCATTTAAAAAAATCTCAAAATTGAATTCGGCAGAAATGTCTGTCTTCCAAGAATATTTTAGTCTAATAACGGTCATGTCAACTATTTTTGCATCCCCCCCCCCCCCGCGCCTAAAAAAAAATCAAATATGCCTACACATGTAAATGTGAATCTGAACAGGGGATGGCCTTTCTCCGTGTGTGTGTGTATGTGTGTGTGTGTTAAAGAACGTATAGATGTACACATAAAAAAATACTTGGTTTAGATTGGAGATTAGTACTAAAACAATCAGTTATAATTGACAAATGAATTTTGCGATGCAAACCAACTGCAGACTATATACATGACTTTGTATAGAATGTATATTAGAACTACATGTAGATAGCTAGACAATTCACAATTATAGCTTACGAACAGCAGTTATAATACTTTAACCCCCCCCCCCCCCCTTTTCAGCCGCGCAAATACCAAATAACTTCTCTTTCCACTTGTGATATTTTCCCTGACGAAAATGTGATCAGCACGGACTAAGTGTATCGACTGTGTGTTTACTATTGAGCTTTATGGAGTTTATTTCTTTTTTGTGATGCATATTTCAATAAATGGGATTCAGGGTGTATATCACTTGACTTGTGCACATCTTCGAACCGATGCAGTAACCTTATTACCAGGTATGGGTACGTTTACAGCGTTCGAGGCGTTTTCTCGATATGCATCAATTGCATCTTTAGGACCTGCAAATCAAAGACGTAGGTTGTTTTGTTCCATTCAAATGATATAATTTCAAAATATGTTTGCAGATTTTACTGCTTTTTATTTCAAGTTTATTCTGCATAAATTTGCGCACTGTAAAATAGGTACTCATGTATCTAAATTTCTCTTCCAAACTTGCATTTTTTTTCCTTTTGATTCAAATCAATAATTATTCAGAAATATGATTATTGTGTTGTTTGTTGTGGTTTTGAAATGTCTTGATCACCTAAAGTGTTCTCATGTTCCTACCATCGGAGATGTGCACAAGTCGATACCCAAGCCAAAAAATCATTCAAGTGTAACGACCGCATTGGGGTATATATCGTTACAATGAGACAATGTATCTGAAAGAAATATGGCGGAATACGGCTATAGTTGGTATGAAACAAGTCGTACATAGATGAAAATGTTGCGTTTTTAAGAATTCATGTCAGCTTTAAGACATAGCCGGGGTGTTGAGTGAACAGAGTTAAAACACGTCATCCATGATTTCAATGTTAAAGACTAAAAGGCAATTTATTATTATTACATGCTGATTTAACATGAATTAAATAGAAAGACCATCTTTCAACTAATGTTTGATAGTCCTCTCCCGACTCTGGGTAAAATAAATGGATCGCTAGGTAGTTGGGATTTTTTTTCTTTTAAGGACCCTCTCTACACCAGTGCAAAATATTTTTTGGACATTAAGAAAAATTTATTGCATAAAGGAGTTAATATTGTGCGTATCTATCGAATTTTCAATGTATGGTACGTGGCATTTACCCCCGGGAAAAATGTTCAAAGACAACACAGTATCAGTGAATAGATATTGCTGTTAATTACTTCAGTAGAGAAAATACATGTAAATAACACGTTCAGTTAATTTATATTGGCCTTTAAAAATGTTGAGAATACTTGAATTGATTGCAAATTCAGTAATATTGTGTAAATTTCTGTTTTTTAGAATTTAGTTCTAAGGGCAGATCACTCTAACTGCAGAAAAATACCTTGGAATCAGAACTCTTTAGTGTGCAGTGTAGAGAGGTTTCTTAAAAAAACTTTAACATATGTGTTATCGGGATAAGACCCAACAAAGCATGTCCTGGAATATTGAAACAAAGTTTTGAGTCGGGACATTTTTAGTTCATCGGTCCGGAGAGTGCAACTTTTTTTTGGAGATGGCCTCTGGTTGCTTTTATTTTTCATTTTTCGAATAATGTATAGGGCCTAGCTTATTTTTTTTTTAAAGACGCCCAAAAATCTTTATAGTGGATAGCTCGACATGTTTGTTAAATAAAAAGATTACTTTTCAGAATTTTATTACATATCAAAACTAAGCTTATTGAACATAATTAATAGCTCCACCTGATTGATAATAACGAAAATTAAAAATAGAACATGAAATAGTTTCAATATCCCAGGCCTCAAAGCTTGAAACTTAAAAAAGAAAATATTATAGTGATTTTTTTTTGGAGGGGGGGGGGAGGAGGGTGGCAGGTTCATTTTTAGTTGATCGGTAGGTAGCTGGAAGCTGAAAACAAATCAATTTTTAATTTAGGCTCAGATTTCTTGAATGGCATTATTAACGCTTACGATTACAGGTGATAGTACTATTTTCAGCTATCATTAATTCATTCTCAAAAGATGTCGCCATATCAATATTAATTTATCCTCTATAAGAACATCGCGGGCGCCTGTGGAATATCAGTAGATCATATTGTCTTTTCAGCCTAGTCTATTGTTGTTTCTTTTGTTTACATATTCTAAGCATAAAACCATTGTCGGTAATATGCTCAAAAATAAATAAATAAATACTGCGTGTATCTAGCTGTATTTTATTTCTAAAAATTGTTGCAAGCTCAATACAATTTCAAAGTGACTTTTTATCGGAAGATTTCAACATTAATATCAGTGACTGCTGTTTTTAAATGTATTTAACCTATTATTTCAATTTATTTTTAAAAATCTTATATTTTGAATGATAAATACATTTTATAAAGACTAGATGTATATTCACAGATCTCTTGCTCTCTCTCTCTCTCTCTCTCTCTCAATCGATCGATCGATAAGATATTTATATGCATGTAAGTATCGCCAGGGGAAATAAGTGTAAACTGTCCGAGGACTATGGATCATTAAAAAAAACTTATGCTATGGCGCGCCAAATGTACTCCTAAACCTACGTCATAATTTAACGTCAATGTAAAGAAATATGACGTCATATTTAGACCAGTACCAATTTAAAAATAAAGGCCCATACTTGTGTCAAAATTTAGATATTACTGTATTTAATTTAAACTGAGATAAATGATAAATAAACGAAAAAGTTAAACATGTATTACAAAGCGACATTTTTGTCGGTTTGGCGTTGACACAGTAAACGACATTTTTGTCGCTTTGGCGTCGAAAGGGTTAATACAGTCATAGGCTCGTGACGTCATACCTGAGCGGTTGAGACGTCATAGTTATGTGAAGTGAAAACACTGTGAACATGGATTTAGCTACATATTTTTGGTAATTTTGACAGTTTTATTCGCTGTCAGAATGGCTTATTTATTTCCATCTATCGTATGTTAGGTCAAGGAAGATTTTTTTACAGAAATCTTCGTTATGGGAAGGGAAATCGAGAGTTTTCCCGCACTTCTGATATTCGTCACACTGTGACAGGATATCATTTTGATATCCTTTCACACGGTGACAGGATATCATTTTTATTCAATGAATAAATTACAGTATTTCACGGGTAAAAATGTAATAATGTTATCTTCATTTATTATTTGATTCTTCTTATATATAATTTGTGCATCTCCAATGGTGTCTCCAAAATGGAAATACATGTAAAATGTATAAGCAATTCGTTGAAACACTGATTTTTGGGCGATTTTGGCACTGCTTTATAATTGCGCAAATCGTCGTCCGCGTGGCGCAGTGGTTAGAGCGCCTGCTCTAGTGTCGCCAAGTAAGGCGTTGAGCCATACGTCGCGGATTCTAATCTCACTGTGGGACGTGGAGACCGGTCCTTTGATGAGACCGTATAAACCGAGGTCCCGTGCCGCTGTAGGTGCTGGCACGCAAGAGATCCCTCACTGCTCAATGGCCGTAAGTGCCGAGCACAGGACAAAATTTGTGGTGGAGTCTCCATATAAGTGAAAAATTTTCCAGAGGGACTTTGAACAACATACAAACAAACAAACAAACAATAGCGCAAATCAGTCAGAATCTTGTAAAACTCGTATTTGCAGACCCGCCATTATCGCTGTAGCAAAGTAATATAGACTGACCCTGGCTTACCGGTAAGCTTCTTCAATTGATACATGTAGTTACTGTCATAGTTTTGGGGCTTTTGGGAGAATTTCTTATATCGGTTTTAGCTTAAATTTCGGTCTGCATGACAACTGGTCGCAAGAAAGAAAGTTCTTAAGAAAATTAATTTTTCCCAGGAAAAAAATAAATGTGTCGAAAAACCTTCAAAAATGTGTTTTGAACTAATCTCCTTACATTCTTAAGAAATGTACAATAGTCATGTATTGTAATGATTTTGTGTTACTTTTTTATCGGTCCTGCTGCCATCATCTGATCTGCGGCACCTAAAACGTCATGAATGAAGTCCCGATCAGCTATTGAACCAATTCTTACTAATTCCTGGGCGCTGTTCCTACACACGGCATGAGCTGTGTGCCAAGACGCTGTTGGTAGATGAACTCGGTATCGGCATTTTAGGTCTTCATCTGCAGACAGTCAAAATTACTTACTATAGATAGTAAACATATATTATACGCACAGTTAGAAAGATACATGTACCAATTCAAGCTTTTTAAAACAGGGGGAAATATCTCGTACAATTTCAATAAAGAGTTAACATAACATCAAATAAAAGGAGAGATACATGTACAAACCCGATGTATTCAACGGAAAATGAAATTGGTGATTCTAATGAAGACAAAATTCTATGGAATTCTAATATTAATCATTAGCTTACTTGCAGAAAACATTTTTTTAAGAAATTGACTAAATAGAAAGGAATGTAATAAGTTGTGAATACAATGTTTGCAATTGGTAACATTCTGTACATCTATTTATTCAGAAAAAAATCATTGTGGATTTAATAATACCTACTGAAATACAGCTGACTTTTACTATAGATTTAATAATGATATCCACTGAAACTCGGCTTACCTTTGAGCTGATACCCCTTAAGGGATACAGTTGTGAAAACGAAGAAAAAACAAGTGATATACTTCATCTGAAAATAATTAAAACATGACCATGTCCATAAGTCATGTAGAAATTTAACATTAAAATTGACTGCATTTTTAAGTGAAGTATCTCTGTAAACGTGGGGACATTTAAAAAAAGAAGGAGGGTTATCTTTTCAAGGAGATGCAAAAATTAATCCTGGGCATAAAGATGTACATTCTGGGATGAAGGACTGCATGACTGTACTTCGTAAGCTCAGAGACGAAAAATTATCATTTCAGACAGTCAGTTTTATTATTTGCTATTAATAAGATACAGGTGAAAGACAAACAAGAGGCCCATGGGCGACAACGCTCATCTGAGTAACTTTGGCCCTAATGTTCTTCGCCAGTTTTTTTCTTTGTAATACTCATTGTGGAAAGGTCTAGGGGCATGATCTGAATACATGTACTTTTGAATTTAAACTACACCAGAATCACAGAGGCCATGATTTGAACAATTTCAAATCTACACTTCCCTGGAATGTATCCATTTTCAGCTTTTCGGGTCCATTGCTTCTTCTTAAAAAGATTTTTAAAAGATTTTATATGCCTATAACTTTTCATTGCTTAGAGCTATGGCTCTCATATTTCATGTGTATATTACTTTGTACAAGGCCTTTCATTGGATATCTCTTGACTCTGGAATTTGACAAAATTCTGCAAGAATTTATCCACTTTTAACTCTAAACATGACCTTTGAACAGTTTTTGCTAGAGTTCTCATGTTTCATATGTGTATTCAATGTGATATTAAATACTTCTCCATGGATATAAATTTTTTTTTTTAACTTTTGACTTTGGCCTTTGAGTTGGACCCAATTAAAAAAAACCTTCATCATTGGATATAATATTTTGGAAATTTGTTACCAGGTCCTTCATATTTCAAAGGTATATTCACTGTTAGAAGGTCTTCATTTCAATACTAACAATTTTGACGTTTTGGCCATGACCTCGGATTTGATGTTGATTTTGGAATAAATTTTAAACAGTTGGTGCTAGAGCTTCAATACAATTCCTATGACAAGGTCTTCTCTTTGATGCCAGCTTTGATTTGTTCCTTTGAACTTGGCCTTAAGTTAAACCCATATTTTAACACAAAAAACACATCGTGTTCTTTATAGATATTCTTGTAAAACTTCCTTATTGCGGTCCCACCCAATTCCTGGGAACGATGGATTTTCAAATAAAGAATTTACACTTTCCCATGATGCTTCCACCTATGCCTCAGCTTTGCTGACCCCGTGGTTCTTGATAAGATTTTTTTTATCTCCCCTTGGGAGGGGATTGTCCCTTCATTTCAAAAATTCAAATTAAACTTTATCCAGTGGTAAGTTCATTATAAGTATTCTAAAGCATTCATGAGATTAGTTTGTTTTTTTTTCTTTTTTTGTTTTTGTTAGAGAGTAAGTACGAAAAATTTTCACAGACTACATGCAAAATAACTCCAAAATATATTTTTTTAAATGTTTTAACCTTTCCTTCTTTATATCATGAAAAGATGAAATGATAAAAAGAGATAAGGAACAGTATCCATTATCCATTTGATCCTTTAAATTCATTCTTTTTTTTAAATAAATTATCTGATACATATTTATAAGTTTTATATCAGTTTATTCTTAATTTTTTCAAAATAAATTTTCTGATACGTGTTTATAAGTTTTATATCATTTCATTCTTAATTTTTAAAAAATAAATTATCTGATATAAATCTTAGTATCACTGTAGTCACAGTAACTTACCTTACATAAACTTCGAATTTATAGCTGCGCATTATTTTATTCTGATCAGCACAAAATTTACTAGGTCTGAAAGTAGTGCTGTAGATATACATGTACAGCATAGCTCTACTGACTACGAGTTTATGAGTTTTATCTGCATTTTAATATCAATAATTTTATCAAAGATTTCGCTGAACCAAAATTATTGAATCGACTCAGCTTAAATTTTGAATTATTTAAAGAAATTGAATTTTTTAATCCCCCCTTTGTTTTTAGAGGCTCATATATTTTAACTCTGCTCATAATTTAGGAATGATAACTTTTTTATCATCATGTTCCTTGCATTTAATATACTGTATATTTACAGAGGTTTTCGTGACAAAGAGTACCAGTACTTTAAATGTCTACAATTTTTATGTTACAACAATTAAAGAATATTGAAATTTACGCATTTTAAATACATTTGTAAATTATAAAATCTTCATACAAAATCTTTTATAATTTTTGGGGCTTTTTTGGCTTTGTTTCACTTTTCTGTATTATTTTCGGTCCGTATAATTGAATGAAAGTGTTTAAAATATTGCAGTATTTTCTCATGCAATGCATTAATGATTGAGCTTTTTTCCTAGGAAATTTTTCAAACAGATGGTATATTAAAAGCAATTCTAACAAGTTAAATATTAATTGATGGATAACGGCATACTGATAATTACAGGAGAAGATAATCAGTGGTTGTCAATATTCTCCTAATTCTCCCTACAATGTAAATAAAGCTAGATAACCACGGGTATTCGATAACCTACATAGTTAAGTTAACATCATTATACCGGTATGTATGAAGAATTATTCATTTTCAATTTTTTTTTAGTCATTGCTGTTAAATAAGAATACGCCTCATTCTGAACCCTGCTTTTAGAATGAAATAAATCATAAAAATTCATTCTTAGACTTTTCCGTTAATTACTATTGTGTTACCTTTTATTCGTGAACGTTATCGGAAACAGACTAGCACGTGGAGGCATGGTAAACAGAAAAGTTATGTGTGTTTCAGTTTTCACCAACCCGTTATCAGCGTCACGTCAAACCTATAACGTTCAACTTGGTGGTTATTGTTTCTTTGCCGAGTGTTTGGCGTGAAAAGTGAAAGTTACAGGTATTTTATTATTACCCCTGTGTCACAGTAGGGGTTTGCACGATAAAGATTCTCAATTAGTCAATATACCTGAGCATCGCGCAATGGTCTAATTTTTAAAAGTATATGGTAACGCCTGTTGAAAATCATGATTCAAAAAGTCTTGCATGTTTTGCTATAGAGAATAAATTTATAAAACCGGTTCTACCCTATCTATGAATAACAAATTTTGTTTCTTCACAACGATTAGAGAAATTAATAATGGTGATCTTGTTTACAGCGTAAATAGCCTAATGTAATGCAACTTTTTTTTAAATTAAATTATTAAGGGAGTTGCTTTTACTATTTGTTGATATATATAAAATGTTATAAAAAAAAATACTGATTGATTGTATGTTGTGTAACTTCCCTCTAGAGAATTTTTCGTTCAAATGGAGACGTCACCACTTGCCGGTGGAGAGCTACAAAGTCCCAAATTCGGCATTCTGGGCCATTGAGCAGTGAGGTATCTTTTTTCATCCAAGCACTTACTGCAACATGGGACCTATACGGTCTCTTTCAAAAGACCGGTCTCTATTTTCAGTCTGAGAATCGACTCCTTACTTCGAGACTCTAAAGCAGAAGCTCTAACCAAGAGCCACGCGGGCGACTGTAATGAAAAGAGACATTTCAAATAAAACTTTCTAAAACTTTCACCTAATGTGCTTAATAAATGAGTAATGTGGCCCACGGGTCTCTTGTTTTATTTCCATGAACTTTATTATCATCCGCTTTCGCGAAAGCGAGGAGACATTATATCTCATTCCTCTGTCTATTTTTTCACAAAAACTTTATCCTTGTTTTGACCAATTTAAAGTAATGTTTAAATTTTTGAAAAGTCAAGGCTACTGGGTCAAAATAAGGGGTGAGGTAATACACATGTGTGAAAAAGGCGTCGGAAACGGGGAGGAGGACTCTAGGGAAGGTTAGCCTCCCACCCCCCACCACTCCTCCAAGGCTGCCTCTAATGAAATACTGATCGATAGCTTCTTGCATAAACCATGAATATGATGATTATGCAAGAAATTTACGCGAGATACCTCTTTTAATTTCATGGGGTATGTTCTTATTCCAATAAAACAAATAAATTGTAAACAGAGCAATCACAGACGTCTGAAAACGTCAGAGGTGGGATCTGGTGCCACGGATCAATAGGCATATCCGTAACAGGTGGGATCAGGTGCCACGGATCAATAGGCATATCCGTCAGAGGTGGGATCAGGTGCCATGGATCAATAGGCATATCCGTCAGAGGTGGGATCTGGTGCCTATATAAGAATGGGATCAGGTGCCATGGATCAATACGCATATCCGTCAGAGGTGGGATCAGGTGCCATGGATCAATAGGCATATCCGTCAGAGGTGGGATCAGGTGCCATGGATCAATAGGTATATCCGTTAGAGGTGGGATCAGGCGCCATGGATCAATACTTATATCAGATGGGATCAGGTGCCATGGATCAATAGGTATATCCGTCAGAGGTGGGATCAGGTGCCATGGATCAATAGGTATATCCGTCAGAGGTGGGATCAGGTGCCATGGATCAATAGGTATATCCGTCAGAGGTGGGATCAGGCGCCATGGATCAATACGCATACCCGTCAGAGGTGGGCTCAGGTGCCATGGATCAATAGGTATATCCGTCAGAGGTGGGATCAAGTGCCATGGATCAATAGGTATATCCGTCAGAGGTGGGATCAGGTGCCATGGATCAATAGGTATATCCGTCAGAGGTGGGATCAGGTGCCATGGATCAATAGGTATATCCGTCAGAGGTGGGATCAGGCGCCATGGATCAATACGCATACCCGTCAGAGGTGGGATCAGGTGCCATGGATCAATAGGTATATCCGTCAGAGGTGGGATCAGGTGCCATGGATCAATAGGTATATCCGTCAGAGGTGGGATCAGGTGCCATGGATCAATAGGTATATCCGTCAGAGGTGGGATCAGGTGCCATGGATCAATAGACATATCCGTCAGAGGTGGGATCAGGTGCCATGAATCAATAGGCATATCCGTCAGAGGTGGGATCAGGTGCCATGGATCAATAGGTATATCCGTCAGAGGTGGGATCAGGTGCCATGGATCAATAGGTATATCCGTCAGAGGTGGGATCAGGCGCCATGGATCAATAGGTATATCCGTCAGAGGTAGGATCAGGTGCCATGGATCAATAGACATATCTGTAAGAGGTGGGATCAGGTGCCATGGATCAATAGACATATCCGTCAGAGGTGGGATCAGGTGCCATGGATCAATAGGCATATCCGTCATTATCATATCATGTTCAAACAGAGAAATCCGTAGAAAATTCAGTAGCTAATAACAGCATCGTCATTACTATTAAAGATATCGGTTAAAAAAGCATTTAACCTGAATTTTTGCAATCATTGTCATTCTATTAACATATACCAGGGGTATTTTTTTTATAGAATTTAATATACACTTAATTGTCGATACCTTTCTATCATCACCTTGATTGTAAGTAGCCTGTCTTTATTTGGCAATTACTCATATATAAAAAGATCGGTAACCATGAAAAATGCATCGTGTTGGTGAAAAATCTTGTTTTCAGAGACAATCATTAAATTATAACAACGATTCAGTTTTCGGTATTTTCACTTCCGCATTTTACATTTAACAACTTTTTCCTGTCGTGGCTTTTATACAACGTAAACGTCAACAATAATTGACTAAATCAGTGCTTACATTATGACGTAATAGTAGGCAAAATGACGTCAATTTTAGAACACAAGTTTTCGTAATATTGGTATTGAGAGATGTAATTTAACTCTAGAAAATGAATACAAAGGTGTAAGAATTAACAAAAACAAAATGTTCTTATTCTGTTATGCTGTATCTGTCATTTTGATTAAAATCTACCACCGATGACGTCATATGTGTACATTAAGTAACTTGGTCATGTCGTGTAAAGAGAATTTGGCTAAGACGGCATGTACAAAGATACGTACAAGGGAGTTTAAGGGGGCCGACTATAGTTTTATTGTGTGAAAAATACAATAGCGAAACTCTTCATTCATTTTTATACCATATATAACTTACATTAACTTCAGTGTACATGCAAAGGTTGGGGGAAATCTACCGTCCAGGTATTTTTAAGGGACCGTCTCAAAATACAGGTACATTTACTATAGGATTATATAGGAAAATGCCAATTTTTAGCACTTTAAAGCAAATTATACAAATACTACAATAGACATTTTGTTCAAACTATAATATTTGATGTATAATACTACATTATACAATATATGTAAGAAACACAAAATTCTACCGTCTTTTTACCAGAGGGGACATCTCAAAATGCAAAAAATTAGCAAACCTTACTTCTTTTATAGAGTATTACAAAATATGACGTACACAATGTGTACAATGATTCACATGAAAATATCATAAAAATATTAGAGATATTCTAAAATTTCTATGTTTTAAATTTCAAGCGCGTGTGTTTATTACTTTTTCTTTATAATATTTTTATTACCCCTTTCTTTAAGAGCTACAGATTATCATAACGTCAAAAACACTATGCAACGACGTCAACCTACCTATCTATTGCGAAATCGGTTAAAAAATTAGTTATATCAAATTGTAATTACATTTTTATAACTATAATTTCTTAATTTTGTTTAATTTCAATAATTAAGCGAAAAAAGTTGCATTAAAACAGTAAATACGCTTCATTTTACTATGATGCGCGAAATATTGCGCAATGGAAACTATAGTCGGCCCCCTTAAAAGCAAGATTTGTACAGATGGAAAGTTTGTCTCCTAAAATACTTGGAAAGTGCTGCTGGAATCCCGATTTAAGCATGGTTTAACGAAAAATATCGGTTCAAATGTATAAAATTCAAAACATCGGATAAGTTGTTATTATAGTTATACGGTTTCGTACGTATACAGTGTGGAATAATTATTTTACTGACGGGACAGTGGGATTCTAGCAGCACTTTTTAGGCAAAGTAAATGTTTTTCAACTTTATTATTTACTCAAGGAATTTATTTAACTCCGGGGTATTGTTGTTCTGTTAGCTTTTTTATTAATGACAATTTCGCTATTAATAGAAGTCACGTGATGCCGTGGTGCTGGTGCACATCTTTGCTCTAGACACTTTTTATCTTTATGCAATAGAGAATAATAGTTTACATTTATAAGCGGTTTTTGTAAATTATTAAACTTAACCTCCTTAAAAAGTCTAAATTTCCCGAGAAATGACTTATATCCTTCCTTAACATACCCGCGAAGTCCAAAATTCGGTGACCAGGGTATTTTTCTTGTGCCTGACAATGCAGCTGCAAATACGCTTAGAGAAATAAATAAGATTTTGAAGAAAAAAAGTACTAGTATACATGACTTTTCAATCATCCATATTAGATCTTGATCGAAGCCATTGTGAGATCTTTTCACTCCCAAAACACATTAAAACAATCAAAAAAAAATTGTACAACGTCAGATAGGTCATGAGAAATGATATTCATCAGTGTCTTTGGGGCGTAAAGTGTAACAGGAAATACCTTGAGGGATTGAAACTATTAATATAAGAATATGTATTACGTACTTTTCTTACTTTTAGATGATATGTTGCATAATTTATTGAAAGACCCTCGTATTTCATGAAAAGATGCGAATGTTATGTCATTAAAGTACATTTTTAAGGTATAATAAAAAATGTTTATTTTTATGCAAACTTTGAAGATTAACTTTCAAAAAAATGGAGCAAAGACCCATTCATATCGAAAAATAGTTTTATTATGTGATACTCTTCTTGCCCTCTTTTGTGTGTGTATAATATTTCATAGGCCTTTTTTTTTTTTTAAATTAAATTGATCAAGAACTATATCTGTATTTTGAAAGATGGAGAAACCATACAATGTGTTTTGAAATCCCTCAAAGGTCAAATAGAGTGAGATTTAAACAAAATTAAATTTTTCAAAAATTTAAAATGCTTCCAAATGTAAAGTCAAGCACTATATCTGTATTTTACAGATGGAGAACATTATTCCATGTGTTTTAAAATCTCTCGAAGGTCAAAAATAGAAGAAATATAAACGATTTAATTTTTTCAAAAAATTTAAATAGCTCCCAAATGTAAAATCTAGCACTTTATCTGTATTGTGAAATATGGGGAAATGTGTTTTGAAATCTCTCAAAGATCAAATAGAGTGAGATTTAAAACGATTTAAATTTTTCAAAAAAAATAAATTTCACAAAAATCTTCAACAAAAGTGAATTTTGATAGTTAAAAGATAGGGAACATCAATTAGTTCGTTTTTAAGCTTATGAAAGCAATCTAAACTTTTTGAAAATTTTTAATCATTTAAATTTCACCCTATTAGATATTTGAGGTATGTATTTCGAAATACACTGTATTTTTAAATACAGGACCAATCCTTGTTTTAACATTTGGAAGCAATTTAAGTTTTTTTTTAAATATTCAAATCGGTTTAATCTGACTCTATCTGACCTTTGAAATATTTCAATATACATACAATGATGTTTTCAATCTTTCAAGGTATGGCTAAAAATTAAAGTTGAACATAGCCCAAATTCCCAAGAAAATAATGGAATCGAATTTTTTTGGAAATATGCATAAATATCTGCAAAGTTTGACGTCATTCTGTGAAGCAGTTTAAGGTCAAGATCTAGTAAATGAAAGGTGCCTTCAGATTTATCACACTAGAGAAATAAATTCCTTTATAGATGCTTTATAACTATAGCTTGGTCAAATAAGGTGTTTCGGGGCATAATTTGTAGGTAAACAAAATGAAAAACTGTATTTTAAACTGTCATTTTCAATGAAAAATAAAGAAAACCAGTCATGAATATGGGAGTTTTTTTCGTATTCGGCAAAGGAAATGTATCCAGATTGCCTACAGAGTCTCTCAGAAAACGGTAATTAGTATGTAAATGGCCTCTTCTTTAGATCTATATCAAATTTAATATAGGTATCCGGTTTACTTTTCATATGATTTTAAATTGAATGACATGAAAATACCCAATTTTCTACATAATTCTACTAAAGCCGTAAATTAAAGTACGGGAAAACAAAAGTTGAAATTGATTATGACGTCATAATGGATCTAGCACCAAAAAATTAGGCTCAAGTTATTTACTAGATCTTGACCTTAAGGTCAAGATCTAGTAAATGACTTTAGAATAACTTTTCAGTGCTAAATCCATTATGACGTCATAATCACTTTCAACTTTCTTTTTCCCGTACTTTACAGCTCTAATAGAACTATGTAGAAAATGAAGTATTTTCATGGAATTCAATTTGAAATCACATGAAAAGTAGTCCCGATACCTATTTTAAATTTGACATTTTTTTAAACTAGAGACTAAGAACATACAATTTACCGTTTTCTGAAAAACTGTAGGCAATCTGGATACACTTTCTTTGTCTGATATGGAAAAAATCTCCCATTTTCATGACTGGTTTTCTTAATTTTTCATTGAAAATGGTAGTTTGAAATATTGTTTTTCTACAATTTATGCCCCGAAACACCTATTTTGACCAAGCTAATGTTATAAAGCATCATTAAAGAAATTTATTTCTTAAATTTGATAAATTTGAAGACACCTTCCATATACTACATCTTGACATTAAGAGGAGTTGTGCTTACAAACTGTTAATCTCTATATTCAAGATATAGCTACAAATCTAAGTTGAAAAGTGGCGAATTTCCCAGAAATAATGCAAACGAAATTTCCTGGTTCTGTGCACAATTACACATTTTGTACTAAATATCTTTCACATTTAACTAAATTATTTGCAACGCTTTAAGAGAAGTTGCCCTAGCAAACTGTTAATCTTTATATTCAAGCTATGGCCAAAAATCTATGTTGAAAATGCCGAAATCCCCCCCCCCAAAAAAAACGGAATTCGAATTTCATGGCATTATGCACATCTAAACATTGTGTCCGAAATATCTGTAAAGTTTGATAAAATTCTGTGCAGTGGTTTATGAGGAGTTGCGCTGACAAAAAAAGGACTGACGGACTGACTGACGGACGGGTCAAAAACATTATACCTCACGCAACTTGTTGCGTGGCGTATAGTTATTATGAATCAAAGTACTGAAAGTACTGTGAAGCGGTTAGCATGCATGCATTGAAATTGGCATGGGGAAGTAATATGCAGAACATGTCCAGGTGTAGATATATTTCAATGATGAAAATTACTTGGAGTCAAATTTTAGTGCAATATAAATTTGATAAATTCTTAGAAATTAATTCACAGTTCACACGACTTGTTTAATTTGCAGTAAATTCATGAAAAGTAAACTTCACATAAAAATTCTCAAGAATCTTATAAATATTCTCAGTACTCTCAGTAGTTTTCATAAATATTCTCAGTTTTTGTCATAAATATTCTCAGATTTTTCTCATAACTATTCTCAGTTTTTCTCATAAATATTCACTGTCTTGTAAATATTCTCAGTTGTTCACCAATATTCTCAGCTGTTTTAATGAGTATTCTGGGGATTTATAATAAAATGTACACAATTTTGTTCTAGGCTAATTAGCAAAAACGCGAAAGTTTTTGCGGGGTGGGGAATTAAATGAACTTTTCAGAGAGAAGGATCCAATTGAATTGCAACAATTAATGCAAAAATAAATAATAAACAAAATATAACACTGCAATCACTAATTTGATAAGAATTTGTTCAATTATATATGTTCAGTCCTACTAAGTCACTTGCAATTGGATTATCATGTAGGCCTAACTAATAGCTAAGGACTAAAACACTAACTAAAGCAGCCGTAAAGTACGCAAAATGTACCTAAATAATATATAATTAGTTCTCAGCTTTGACAAGCAAGTCTATTATGATAAAGCAATGAACCGTAGTAGCAAGTATAAGCAAACAATATTACCTGAAGGTATCTTTCGTTCTTTCGTACAAGTACGTCATCTATCCACGCTATCTTGTTAGTAAATAATGTATTACTACGCGTTCGCATCCGTTACGTATATCAAAGATGAACACAAAAAAATGATCAAAAATCAAATATAAACTAGATTTTTTCTTGTTTTGTTTTGCAATACTTTCGCAGTTTTTAACATAACTAATCATATATCTTTCGGTTTATGAACCATATTGTAGAACTATTTTTTCTCCTCTTCACTGCAAAGTTTGCCCCTGCATTTCTGCATGTAACCCCAGATAATTCAGCGTAGACTTTCGGGTATTTCCGCCAAAGATCGGAAAAGCTGCAATTGTTTGCTCATAGGTAGCGCCTTATGGAGGTTTCCGGTTGCCGACACATGCCATAAAGCGGCTAGCGAAGCTAACCGCTTAATAAAAGGAGGCATATTTAAAAACAGAAGAGAAGTCTACGTTTAAATGTCATAAAACCTTTTTAAATAAATGCCAATATGTCCTGCAAGTCTAATAAATTGCCCCTCCACAGCATGATACGCCCGTCAAATATAATTCAACAATCATAAATTGGTTAAAGTGCAAGAAAATCGGGTAACCTTCATTACCAGATTGACACAGATTTCAATGGTCTTTCCATTCCTTATCATGTTTGATGTACACACACATCTCTAAGAGACTTACAGTGTAGATATTAATTATAACAAATAATATATCATATACATGTAATTCTAAACTGGCTGTGTTAGAGCTTAACAAATATGTTTATTGTATATAATTTATGATTGATTAAAAATGCTACAATCTAATAAGACATCAAAACTAAATTATTCTTTAGACTTTAAAATTTTAAGTGAGACATATGACACTCTGCAGTTTGTTTCAAATACGGTATATAAAAATTGTAATTGACAAAAACAATTACATGTAAACATGTGTTTTAAGTTTTAATTTTATTATGCAATATTAATTTAGTTTTAATCATACACTGTAATTTAAACATAAATTTGTTTTAATTACATTACACCAATTGAAAGATCTTTATTTTGAAACTCAAGCAATTATGAGGCCGATTTCTTTTGCCCAACTCCCCAGGGATAAAAATAACAGATGCTTGATCAGAGATGCTCTACCAGTTAGCTCCTGACAATTAACTCATTATTTTTTTTCTAATTTGACATGCAAATTTTTGATATCAAAATTTTTCTTGACCAGTGCTTGATAATTATGCCCATGGGAGAAATTGAATTTCTCCAATATCATGAACATTTGTCACAAATTTGCTGTAAAGTGTATGATGAAAAAATAATTTTTTACTTGATTTAACATTATACATTTATTGACCCAGTTCGAGGGAAACATGTATTTTGTCGGACCCAAGAACCCAACTGTCTGTCTGAAGCCGTTAGGCCGAAGGCAGACAGTTTGGTTTGAGGGTTTGACAAAACGCATTTTGCCCGAGAACTCTGTCAATAAATGTTTTGTTATACCTTTCATTTTAATATTTTCTTTTTATATACATGTATTTTGTACTGTATTTTGTGATGTAACATCAGGTCTGTCACTGTTTAATACCAAGGAATGAAAATGAGATTAAGTTCCGCCCATTCTGTGACTTAAGCGGTCCAACATCGATTTTTTTAAGCCCGCTCAGCAAAACATTAAAAATGTTAGACTTTTACAGGTATAACGATTTTTAATAAGGATACAACTATATTTTTACATTTTTAGGATAAAATTTAAAACTTTAAAGACTTAGTTGTTTTTTTTTTAATTACTTCAGTTTCACAGTGACCTTAAAAAAGGTCGTTACACACCGTTATAAAAGATGTACACATTTGTCAAGTTTGATAGTTCTAGGCCCAATAGTTCTCTAGTTATGAGCCGGACAGGATTTTTCCATATATGGCTGTAGCATCTTCATTAAAGGTCAGAGCGACCTACTTTTTATGAGGGACACATTGTCTACCCAAGAAGTATCAGTTGACAAAGTTTGATAATCTTAGGCCTCATAGTATTAACGTTATGAGCCGGACATGAATAGACAGACGGACATGAAGCCTATAACATAATACGTCCCGTCTTAAATATACTGCATGATTTGTACTTCTTGCAGAGAAAACTAGCTGACCACATAAGGGTCCATAAACAACAAATATGGGACTACATCAGTGACCTCACAATGAACACTTTGATTATGTTCCATTGGAAACTTTTAAATATTTTCATTTTATAAAGCGTTCGATAATAATATACATGCAATTACAGAGAGCCAAAGATTATGATGTAAAATTATTTAAACTAAATTGAATGTAAATTATCATAGCTTAAGAGTAATATTCTATTACTAATATACTTTTGGCATCTTATTGACATTTACCTATGCCACTTTATGATGCTGTCTTTTTGACATCATGATAATTGATGGAGTCCTAACGACGAAGTTGTATTGTTTTCCTAATTTTGTTTCACTGACTGGATCCACTTAGTAAATATGAACTTGTTTATTAACCTTGGATTTTTTAACTTTATATCTATGTACTCGTATATATCATAATACAATAAATGCTTTCAATCTTTTCAGTTTCTTTTATTTCATACTCCTCTGGGACTTACCTTTCTTTATTTAAGTGAAAGAGATACAGCATGCATGCCTGTTTAAAATACCTTCAGTTGACAACATATTTGCTGTATTAAAAATTTAATCACATATCAAATTAATTCATAAAGGTACATTAAAAGCTAACTTTTGGAATAACAAAACATTTTCGGAATTGATAAAAATATATGAAATTTACAATTTTCATACAGGTTTATTGTTGTCGTGGCATTTGCATTCTACATGTAGAAAGAATACATAAAATTTTATTTAAAAAAATAATTTTGCCACTTCAAATCTTCACAACTGTACATAAAACCATCAGTGCACACAAATACCACATTGATACAAATATTATCTTACATTATAAGATTTTGTACATATAATGGATAGTCTGCCTAATTTATATTCGTTACATAATGATTACAAAACTACAATTATTTTCTTTCTTATCTTTTTGAACCTGTTAAAAATTTTCTTGAATGAAAAAACCACTGAACTTCATGTACTCAAAATCTTTTTTTGTGGCTTGCTAGGATTCAAAATATAAATATCAAACACTAATACCTGTAATCAAACACTAATACCTGTAATCAAACACTAATACCTGTCATTGACAATTAAAGGTAACACAAATACTGCTTGATCATAATGATCTATTACATGTACATACTGATACTTTTCAGGGAAACAACAAAATGTTTAATTTTTTCCAAATCAAAAATGTGAGAGAGGCAAAAAAGTCAGCCAGGCAGACATACAACCATGGCAAAACAGTGTTTCTACCCTGATGTGGCGAGACACAAGTATATCCTCAGTTTGTAGAGCTTGGTCCTGCTTCTGACTGGTCATCCACTCCTTCTTTGTCAATAACCTTTTGCTCTCTTTTTTCTCTGTGAATTATTTCAATCAATTTATTTTCCTGTTCTTCTAGAAACGAACTGAATTGTAAAGATTTCTTTTTTAAAATCTGTGTAGGGAGGGACCGGATAACATTTCCAAGTCGTAATTTCTCTTCATACACATTAAGCTTATCTTTTGCCTCTGTAAAAAAAAGTCCCTTGTATTTCCTCATTGCTTCAGTTAAACCTGAACTCAAGAACTTGTAATTCACTGCGAACCATGAAACCAAAATGGCAGCATCATCAAATTCATATTTACTCGGACCTGTTTTCTGAAACAAAGGTATATGAGAACTTTCCAAGATAACATCATGCTCAGAATCATAGAACATAACAAACATTGTAGTATTTCCAACTCCGATGCATGGTGTCAAAAAATGCTCCCTTTCTGGATGAGTATGTTTCTGAAGGAACGAAAAAACTATGGTTTGCGCTATTATCTGAGGGTTTCCGGACAGCACACTGGACTTCACTTTCTCTTCAGCTTTTCCTCCAGGGCTGTCTGGTTTGTCTTCCACAGGCTCCACAATCAACTCGTTCTTGATGAATATATCTAAATTCCCATGCCAAACTTCCACATTTCCTATGATAAAGTAAAAAGAAAGTCATAAATCTAGATCATTTAGGCTTCTATATACACCATTACTCATTAAAATTATAATTATACATGTTATTAGGGCCCAACATTCATTGCGGGAGCTCTATATAAATAATGTGTGGAAGATGGTCCATCTGCTAACAGCTTGTTCATCCTTCCATCTAACTGTCTGTCCATCCTTCCATCTAACTGTCTGTCCATCTGTCCATCTAACTGTCTGTCCATTTGTCCATCAACACTTTTTGTGATTCAATAACTCAAAGTTTTCAAATTTTGTACAGAATATAAATGAGAGAAATGATATCAACTATATATCTTTTGACGTTTTGCATACATGTACATGCATATGCAAGATGATTATGGCATGTTGGTTAAGCGATAAACATGAAATATTTAATTAAAGCCAAAAATTTTTTTTTATATTTTTTCCTCTCAGGCCATTTTGCACCAACTGACAACTCTGGTACCTGTGCCTAGTAAATTTTATATACTTTGTAAATAAATATATAAAAGTTTTTGACATAATATTCATTTTTTTCAATGCATAGGGGGCTACTTTCTGGGGTTTACAAGAGATGTTTAAAAAGACATTCGTGTCAGCTAATGAGACCAATATTGTTTAACACCTTCTTATTAATATTTTTTACATGAATGCAAATACCTGATTATTTTACGAAGGACCGTACATGTATATTGATTTTTAATATACCAAAAATTGCTATTTCTGGGGATTGCGTAATTCTAAAAAAAAATTCATAAAAATGTCAAAGGTAAAATAAACCAAGGATGCTTGGTATTAAAATATTATTTCGAATCAGTAGAATTGAAAGCTATTAACAACATCTGAATAAATAGTCTATAAAAGGCTTATATACCAACTTTGTTCATCTGCACTTTAATTTTAAACACGACAGGATTTGTAATTTTTTCCGTATAAATTAATAATTTCTATATACTTTGGAAACTCAAATCAAATATTCTAATACACTTTCCTCGAGCTCTTTTCTGCAGTTTTCCTGAAATTTTATGTGAGTCTGAGGTGTTATTTGAGTTTAACAGAGATTCTCTATGTTGCCATTAATTTGATTTATTTGGTTGTTGCCGGGGGAGGGGGGGGGGGGTATTTTTATTCTTAACCTATTTAACGTTGGAGTTGAATCTGGTATCTTACTCCAGGGGCTTAAGATTGATTGTGACATTTGGATGAAAGGTCAAGGTCATTAAAAACCAGCACCTCTTTAACTTCTATCCTGCCAACCAAAATAAACTATGAAAGGTGTTTCTAGATACATGTACATGTCCTTCATGTTTCTTTTTACCCTTGGGTCAAGCACAAAGGTTAAGGTCGATTTTAAGTTCATAGGTCAAGGTGATTTTGGTAAATAGCTAATAACAACATTTTATTCAGGTTGCCAGTGACCTTGACCTAAGTTTCAAAGTCGTATCAAAAGATCTGCATGAAAGTATGTTACATGTTTGACAATAGAAGTTCTTAATTCTGCATGAACATCAAAAACTCAAGTATACTGTCATTTAATGCATTGTGTGCGGGTGCATGTGCATGCACATCCTTGCATTTACTTTTGATAGTAGCATAATATAGGAATTCATTATACCTATTCATATTCTGAATTTCATCCCGTTTCCTTGAGAATTTAGAAAGTTATAGACATTTAAAGTTCCAAAATCAGATTGCAGCACACGTGCATGCGCATGCTTTCATGAAAATTCTTATATATCATGCTGTAGATCTTCATAGTGTATGAATATGTTCAAAATTTCAAAGGATTTTGTCAGAAAACATAAAAGATATTTAGACTTTTAGTTTCAGCCAATCGGAGCGAAGCGCACGTGCATGCGCGCGAGATCTTGCTATTTTGACCATGTCGTCATGTCTATATTACTAATATATCCTTATATTATGAGTTTCAAAGCATTTCATCCAAAATTTAAAACGTTACGGCTATATCTATTGTATTGGTCATTTCACGTGTTACACGTGTGCGCACACACACGCAAGTGTTCGCAAGTAATGACCTTCGATATCCGCACATCTACATAACATACCTATTGTGACCCCAAAAAGGTTTCACCTAGATCGGATGAGTAGTTTATGAGAACACTCGCAGACAAAAAAAGTACCAGAGAACAAAGAAAAAATTCAGAAAAAGTAAAAACAATATGTTCCCAAACTTCGTTTGGGGAACATAATAATGTGTGGAAGATGATCCATCTGCTAACAGCTTGCCTATCCTTCCATCAAGATGCATCAACTGACAAAGTTTGATGATTCAAAGCCAATTAATACATGAAATATTTAATTAAAGCCATAAATTTTTAAAAGTAGGTCAAGATGAACAATTTTTAGTCAAACTGAAAAAGCTGATATTTTTTTGAGGACCCAAGATGCATCAACTTACAAAGTTGTATGAACACAGGCCTTAAAATGTCCAAATTATGCTTCTAAAATGCTTAGAAATCGAATGCCTGCAAAGTTCAATCATAGGTAATCAAAGATTTCCAAGCTCACCTCAACAAATGTTATCTATAAGTAAGGCAAATTTCACATCATATATTTTCTAGTTAGGGTACATCCAAAGATCAATATCCATGCAAGTTTGGTTTAAGCAGACTTATAGTTACTTGGAAATAGACCTCAAAAATCTTTTAACCTGTTTAAAATATTCAGGTGCAAAACATCAATGTAAAAATTTTTGAAAAAGGAGGTCAAAGTTCAAAGTCAAATATCATATGACACATCTTGTCACAGGTAAAGCAAACATCAAACATAAAAATTCCTTATCTTTTCTCATTTAAAAGTTATGACTAAAATTAGAATTTTTCAGACAGACAGAAAAGTAAGTCAAACTTAAAAGTATCACAAAACATTTGGAGAGATCATGTCACATGTAATTGCACATGTTAAATATGAAAGCCATCTTTTTTTTCTAATGCAAAAGATATGAACAAGGTTTCAAACTTTTGTGATAGACAGACAGATGGACAAATGAATGAGATATTTTTGTGCAACTTGGGGGCAATAAACAAATCACCAAACAAGGAGAACCTCTCTAAATGACTAGAAATAGAGTTTTCTTTTGTGTGAACAGTACTGCATTTCTCAAATGAATTATAAAAATTTTCTAATCTGAAAAATGTAGGGGATGGGTGACATCCTGACAATGTTGACACACCCTATGAACATATTTTGCATAAAAATGTTCAACAGCTAGTATATTTCTCATCAATTATCAAATTAAAATGAAATTCCGAGTACCAAATATGTCTTTGATCATGTTGATGTATAGTAAAACTCGTGTAGTACAAACACGGATATAGCGAATTCAAGAATAGAGCGAGTTTTTCTTGGATCCCCAGCAAAATAAATTAAACGAATTTCTTATTAGATCTAACGGATATAGCAAAGTAATTTCACAGGTCCTAGTGACTTCATTATAACCAAGTTTTACTGTATGTACAAATGATCTGCAAAATAAAAACTTCCTATCTTGAAAAATTTATGAGGAGTTATCCAGACAAATTATGTACAGTACTCAGGTGGCAGCTGCCCATGGTCCCACCTCCTACCATTTTCACCATTTCAGTAATCAGATTTATACAATAGAAAGCCTATTTAAAAATCCAAAATATGATGAGTTTTAAATTGTTGGTTTTTCTATTTTTCCCCATTTTCCACAAAATAAATGTCAATTTTTCAAATTTCAACTGCTTTAATTGGTACAGTTGGTATGAAAGCCATGTGATAAATAGGATCAAGCTAGCTTTTCTGATTACCCGTTGTTCCTGCATTCATCCATCTGTCTGTTCCTCCGGAAACTTTACAGAATTTTGACTTCTCCAGAACAAATGGACTATTTCAACTAAACTTGCCATGAAACATCAGACTGTATCAACAGATGATAGCTAAACATAAAGATCAGCAGAGAGAAAGAGTGATAAGATTGAACTTTATACCTAAAAAATATGATTGCAGGTTTGAAAAAGTCCTTACCTACACTTGTATCCCCATATTGACCTGTCATCTTGCAAGATTTATCCTCACAAAAGCACTGATCTTCCCTTTCCTTTGCATACGATTTGTCAACTACATAGCAGCAGGATGTTGCAAGTTTTCCAAACAAATGATTTGCCAACAGCATTGTCAATTCTGTTTCACTTAATTTCTGAGGATCAATTTTTATACTTCTTTCTGAAATAAAAAGCAATCATGCAGTAGTTAAAACCCAACTTTTCCCCCCATTTTATGCATGGTACATTCAATATCAATATGATTGAGGTTCTATCTCCTATTTGTTAATGTTTTAGAAACTTGAAAAAAAATTAGAAATGACATTATTATACCTCTACTGTAATAACTCTGTATAAAATTAATAAAATTAATTGCCTATTTCCCCGAGAAGAGACTCTTTCCCTCATCTGAGGACGACTCCTGAGAAATCAGAGCTACTCCCTGGAACTACTCCCTTATGAATATTTATTAGTAATTTTAACCAATCAAAGTGTTCAGTTGGTGGAGCGTTCCAGGAGTCCGTGACGTAATGTTATTAGCAATGTAATGCCCTGTTCACATGGAGAGTTTAATTCGCAGTTAATTAATGCAAAGTTAACTAATGTGAATTAAACTTATGTGAATTAAATTGCATTCACACGACAGCTAAATGGAAATGAACTAATGCGAATTAAAATTTTACTTCTGCAGCCTGGCTATTATGACGTCATTTGCAAACCACGTCAGTGACGCCACCTTTTGCAGAAGCAGATCCATTTGACACAATGGCAAAGTGTCTGTATACACATTTTAATGATTAACAAAATTTTCCTTAGTTTTTCACTCAAAAATTATAGCACAAGTACCTATAGCTGACCACCCACAAGTGGAATTTGACTAAATGCGAAGTAATTTAATGCGCAGTTAACTAATTCGATTTTAACTAATACGCATTAAATTCTCCATGTGAATGCTAAGCGAATCTAATTCGCAGTAACTTTACGTTTTATTCGAATTAAACTCTCTGTGTGAACAGGGCATTACTATGACGTCAAAACATTTCAACATGCAATGTCAAAATCATAGTTACTTGAATTCTAGCAAAATGAAGAAATGTCAGTGAAAATATTTTTTAAAAAATAATTTTATTGTTCTAGGACACGATGCATTATTTAGTTATCTCTTAAACGGCTTGCATTTGTTATAATGCCTCTATAGGTTTTTTTTTTTAAATGTTGGATTATCTTGTTTTTTAAAACAAAGATTGTTTCAGCATAATAAAACAGTTATGGAATGGGAACTCGGGAAATAGCAAACTTATGGTTCCCCGAGGCCCTCGTACCTATACCATAACTGTTTAATACTATACTAAATCATGGCCTTAATAATGTTTATAAATACAATAAAAATTTTATTATAGCTGTGGCGGTCAGCCGGGTTTGATCCCCAGTGGCCAGATAGCTCAGTTGGTAGAGCACCTGACCGGAGTTTCAGGGGGCCTGGGTTCGAATCCCAGTCTGGTCCACTGCATTTTCTCCTCTCCCATTACATTTGGTGCCGTCCCATGCCTAGGGCTGTGTATTGAGCCAAAAATTTCGATACGATACGATACAATATTTTTATATTTATAAACACACACTTTACCCTAAAAAAAACTAGTTTTAGTTTTAATAAAATATGAAAGTATTTATTATATATCCATTTATTCTCTTTATTTCAAGTCCTTTTGGGTTGTTCTAAATTTCCTTTTGGTTCCTTTTGGGTTCCTTTTGGGTTCTTTTGGGTCCTTTTGGGTAAATCGACCCACCGGAAAAGTCTTCTAAATCATTTTAATGCATACATTTTATAACAATTAGGGTGAATTCACCATGCATCGGATACCCTTGTACTTCAACAAGTTCTAGCGATATCGCTACCGAAGGAAAATTATCAAAATGGACCTCAACATTTAGTTTGTGATTAAAATATCAATTTAGGACACAATTATATGCCTTTTATTGAGAAAATATCCCCCAAAATCGAGTTTTTAGAAATAACTGAGAATTCACCATGGATCGGACATTGTTCACCATGCATCGGACCGACGGTATTGAAAACGGAAAAATATGTACCTTTATCACAGTGCTTTAAAATCCTTGATATGGGTATATTTTCATCTTTTATCTAAGAAATAACCCTCATCTAAAATTTAATTGACGATATAGTTGCACAAATGTAGAACGATTCAAGATACATCGCTCTGCCTTAGAAATGCTTTAAAATGCTTAGAATGCGGTAATTCGCGCCTTTTTCTCATGGTTTATCATACTCTGGTTTGTAGAAATAAATTGAGTCTATTCCAGACGTCATATATCAATAACTTGTATTTTGACTGAAAATATAGAGTCTTTATTTTCTTTTTCCGCAAAAAACAGCTGTCAGCTGGGTTCTGTATGAAAATGGTAGGCTTACCTTTGCATCGAAAAGTGTCCGATGCATGGTTAATTTGTGTCCGATGTACGGTGAAATTAGCATACTAGTAAAAACCAGCTCTAATAAGAATTAAACAAACATTGAAGTGAAATTTCTTTATAATTTATGTAAAATTACCAATCCCTGACAAAATTCACCAAAGTCCGACTCGTTCCGAGGAAGTCGAATTTAAAAGAACGATAACTCTGAAAATTGCAAAATCATAAATTTCGGGTTATTCCCCTTTATGATGTAAAATATGACGTAACTTCAAGGCCATTTGTGGGGTATTTTTATCTCAACATGACAAACACAATCGGTATCATTAAAAAATTTAAATCTTCATCTTTACGACAGAAACAAATAAATACACAGAACTCTTAAGTTGAAAGAGAGTTTATTGCCTAAAGTTGTCCGAAGCAAGGTATGTGTCCGATGTATGGTGAACTCACCCTAAGTGTTTTATTACCCATTTTAAAGTTCTTGTCTCATTGTCATTAAAAATAACACTTAAATTAAAACTTTTGATGACAGTAAAATCAACATGTTCAAAAAAATTTATCTTTGTATTTTGTAATAATTATAAAAACTGTTTTATTTCCTTAGAAATTATATAATTAAATTGAAGGTTTTAATTCAAAAAAGTAAAATATAATCTTTGGTGATTGAAATTCCCATCTTTTAAACAGAATTTGAAGAAAAAATGTCTGTCCGATACGCATTGGAAGTTACTTTTCGATACGATATTTTCCTTGAATATCGATACGTATCGATATATTGATACAGCCCTAGGCCCATGCCCTTGAATTGACAGGTGAAAGACCTGCCAGGGATGAGCCTAGGTTGGGGTCTTTGGAGGGCCAAAGACCTTTAAGGAGGGAGGAATGTGGCGGTCAGCCGGGTTTGATCGCTGGTGGCCAGATAGCTCAGTTGGTAGAGCACCTGACCAGAGTTTCGGAGCCATACTGGTCTAGTTTTTTTCACATTTCACATGTTTCAGTTGTTAATAAACTTTGTCTTCTAACAATATGTAGATATTCTAGGTTTTACATTGATAATTTATATAATATATTTTTTCATCATGTCAAATATCAGGCCTTTAGTATAACTGTTCCCAATATTTTCCAAGGGCTAGGGCCTGGATCCAATTCCCAAAATGCCTGTAATCTGTACATAATCTTACCTTCTTCTACGAATTCTAGTAATTTTCCAAGTAATAAATTATATGGCTTGTCTTCTGGTAGTGTCTTTTTATATAAATACTCTGTGAGTACTTGCAAGCCATATTGGAATACGTCCCCGAACAAAAAATCCTCCTCCTCATACACTTCTGTGTCACACCTAACTCTTGAAAAATCACATCCGGGTGTTGCATTGCTTCCTTTCATCTTAAGAGGTGATAGTTTAACTGCATCTGACAATTTTTCATTTCCGAGACATAAAAGATGTGCAGCGTTTGCAAATTTCAATACAGTGTTATCTACCCGTCTCCTCTTCACCAAAGATGCCATCTTTGTTATGAAGTGATGCTCGGTACTCCGAACCCGATGATAAAAAAGATAAATAGGGTACTTGTACCACAATAGTAAAGAGAAGCATAAAGAGGTATATTGTCCTTAAATAAACAATTGGTAAATACTTCAATTTTATCAGGAAATAATATAAAATAACATGCAATAAAATGTATCATATAATTGTTAATTAAATATCTTACTTATTCAAAATTTCCTCCTAGTGAAAAATTTAAGATATTTCTTACTTTACATTGGAACCAATATCAAATGACAATTTAAATGTATATTTTGAGCATCCTTGAAATTTTGAGTATGGAAAGATGTGCTGGTAGAGTCAATTATTGTCTGTTAATGCACACTGGAAACCATTCCCTCGGAAAGACTGTATAATTCTGTTCATAAACCAGAAACGTTGCCAGTCCCCTTAAAGACCATCTGAAGATTTGTTCTCAATTATTTTTTAAGTTATTAAAGAGGCATGGATATTATGGAATGCCATATACGACAGCCAACTGCTCACTGCCAACTGCCACATATATTTGCATAAATTTTCATATTTTCGTTGATACTATGTGAATTGTCAAAAACAAAAATAAAATTAAAAAACATGGATCCATATGGAATGCCATATACGACAGCCAACTGCTTACTGCCAACTGCTAACTGCTTACTGCCAACTGTCAGCTGTTTACTGCCAACTGACACACATATTTGAATAAATTTTATATTTATGTTGATATTTATATGAATTTTCACACACACACACACGCACCCACTCACACACACACACACACACACACACACACACACACACACACACACAAAAAAGGAAAAATATAAAATTCCAGGACATTTTTCCAAGGGGGTCACCCTGGTAAAATTAAATTGAATAAATGACCGATATGTTTAATCTTATGTAATATTCAATATATGCGGTTGATAAAGTACATTATTTAGTTTTTTATTTGTTTCTTATGCTAGTATTTGAAATAGGTAATAAAATGACCATTTTCTGCTTTTAATCTTTAAAGAAGCCCCCTCCCTCCCCCGGAGACAACAAAACCTTTGAAGAGAGAATAATACTAAAAGAGATTTGTCGTTTCTCAGAGAAAGATGTTTTGAAAATAAATTTTCGTTTTCCATTATATTCTATAGTTGAAAATTTCCTCAAATCAAAGTTGTATATCTCTGTGTGTTATAATGTTTCTCGTGCATAGATCGGGGGGGATTTAAAATTTGTACAGTCATGGGTTATATAAACTAAACGAACTACCGGTATAACTGACCTTGGACCCTCCACTTAGATAACGCCGATCAATCATTTATATCTCTTTGTTTTTACAAATAAAATATGTTTTACATGCATAGATCTAGAGAGAGAGAGGGGGGGGGGGGTCTGGACCACGCGTTTGAAATTTGTAAAGTTATTTAACGCACAAACTAAACCAACTAAAAGTTATTTAATGTATAAAATAAATCAACTAAAAGGAACCTTAGAATCCCCCCTCCCCAACCGAAAATGTGGATTCGTGTTAAGTTGGTTTGAAAAATGTCAAAGACATGAAGGTATGACGCATAAGAACCCCCTCTCCCCGGCCGAAATAAATGTTCACATTTAGGAAAGGACTTTACTGGGTTTTTTTTCTTGTCAAGAAATTTCTGGGTTGGATTTTTTAACAGAGTGACCCTGTTGGAAAAAAATGTCAAAGATCCGCGCCTTTTTTTTTTAATTTACATAAATATCAATATATAAATAAAATTTATTCAAATATGTGTGGCAGTTGGCAATAAACAGCTGACAGTTGGCAGTAAGCAGTCAGCAGTTGGCAGTAAGCAGTTGGCTGTCGTATATGGCATTCCATAGATCCAGGATTTTTTTTTTCCAGGAGTGATCCACCCCTGTAAAAATAAATCGAACTCAGAAATTCCTTGACAAGAAAAATAACGTAAACCCCTTTTGTAAACGTGAAAAATTCTTTTGACGGTGTGGGTGGGTTATGCTCCATATCTTCATATCTATGACTTTTCATACAAATTAACTTAATGCAGATCCGGGTTTTTTTTTTGGGGGGGGGGGGGGGGTTCAAAGTCAGTTAAACCGTTGACAAATAGTTAATTGCTCTTATGTATAACTCCTTTAATAAGGGTTAGATTTTATCAATTGAAATAAGTCTGAATATATCACCAGATCTTCAAATACTAATGAAAATGGATAAATGACTCCTTAATCTCATCGTGTGTTTTTATTAATGTAAAATTCAACATATAAGATTGATAAAGTATATTATTTTTTATTTGTTATCTTACAAAATGACTATTTTCCTGTTTTTGATACCCCCCCCCCTACATGAGACAACAAAATCTTTGGAAATGATAAAAACTGAAAAAAGGATTTGTTGTTGATTCACAAGGAGTTATTTTAAAAATAAATTTCGATTTCCCGTTAATTTTTAACCCGGCTTTGAACATTTTTCTCAAAGATTTATATCTCTTTGTTTTTACAAAATAAGTTATGTTTTATATGAACGGGGGGGGGGTGTTTCCGGACCATCCCTTTGAAAATTTTTAAAGGTATTTAATGTACTAACTAAACCGACTGAAATTTATATAATGCATAGATTAAAAGGGGGCTTTAAAGGGTTTTTATTTTCTATCCGGGTGTCCCTCTTGGAAAAAAACCCTGGATCCGCGTCTGTTTTTTTTTTTTTTTTTTTTTTTTTGAAAATACACATGAATATATCAAAATATGAAAATTTAGTCAAATATATGTGGCAGTGGGCAGTAAGCAGCTGACAGTTGGCAGTAAGCAGTTAGCAGTTGGCAGTAAGCAGTTGGCTGTTGTATATGGCATTCCATAGGATATAGATCCGTTGATTTAAAAAGAAAAAAAAAAAAAAAAAAAAAAACATTATTAATTTTGATGATTATAATTCTCAACTAGGGCAATTCTAAAGATCAGTAAAGAATGAACATTATTTTTTTTATCTACAAACACAAAGGAAATATTGAATTTAAAATTCTTCAAAATGTAAATAAGTTTCGTGTCTTGTTTTTGTTTCAAACAGAAAATATTTTGTGATAGCAAAATGAGATTCAGCAATTCACTTGAAACTGTCTAATCGTAATTAGAGTCAACTTCTGTTTTGAAAAAAATCTGCTTTGAATGAACACTGAAAACCAAAAGTTTTGAAGATCATAAGAAATACCTTAGTTAAGTATGTTTGTAAACATAAAAAAATTGAAAAATATAAAATTCGAAACTTTTTAGCTGAAACTGTGTCCATATTTCTTTCAGTGGTTCATGAGAAGTATCTTTCCTCTATATTTCCCTATTAATCTTTGATCGTACTGCCTAATCCTCCCTCCCCCCTGCCGGAGACGCTTTTGAACAATTTTATTTGAATTTATACTACCCAAGGATGCCTCCATATAAGTTTCGTATAATCTAGCCGGCCTCCTGGTTCTTGAGAAGAATTTCCAGGACCCTTTATACACTGATGAATTTTTTTTTCACTGGACTTTGAGAATTTTATATAGCCAAATGAGGATATTTGAAATCAACTAATTAATTATTGATTCAGGGAACGTGCCTTTTTTTATGCAGGAAAAATTTTCAAATATGAAGTAACGATAACAAAAGAATAGCTTTTGTTTATTGAAATAGAGAAAATACGGCATTGCACATACACATTTAAAGTCTTCAGCTATTCTATCTAGGTCTATTATAATGTTTTGAATAGATCTACTTATTTTAAATCATGACATATAATGTAGATAACAATGTATTCTATTTAATGCCAAATAGTGGGTTAGTTTAACTACAAAAAGTTCCCTAAAATTTGGATGCAGTGTCCTTTAAAATGATGACATTAAGTTTTCATTGATATTTTGTTATCCCCCTCTTCAAAAGGGCGTGTCCCTTCAAATTACCAAACTTGAATATCCTTTATCCAATGATACTTTCAGTAAAGTTTGGGTGAATGGTTCTGATAATAAGTTAAAAATATGAAAAGTTTACAGACAATCAGACAGGCAGAAACCAAACAAAATGTAATCAGAAAAGGATTCATACACCTTGAAATGTTTCTAGAATGTAAGGCTATAGTATTTTTTAAATAAGAATTTTTAAATGATGAATTAATCTCAATGAGAAGAAGTTTTTTTTTTTCGCAACCAACACATTAGAAAATTTCAAAATTTGGTTATATTTCACAGTTGTTAAGCAACACTAGCTTCAAAGTGTATTCATGGTAACCAGAAATGAAATACAGTTTCTAAAGTTATGAAATTTAAAGTTTTCTAAGTGTTTGCTTATTGCAATGCTAGCAAAAGTATTAATAATCAATGGAAGCTATAAAAAATTTCAAATATTTTGGTCACAAATAGTTTGCTCTCTGGTCATTGTGCAGTAAGTTGCCATGGCAACCCAAGTATTATCTGATTATGGAATCTTGTCACCCATACAAATGTTTAATTTGATATATAACAATACCATATCGTTAGTTATTTATATTTATCATTTAGAACTTCTTGTGGAAGATCTCATTCCAGGCACGTACGTAGCAACGGGGGAGGGGGCTATTGTCGAGGTATTGTCAGTCAACAATGGCCATGAAACCTATGGGAAAAAACTGTATTCAAGATCAGAAGTCCATAACACAATACAAAATAAGAGCAGAGCAAACACGGACCCCCAAAACGTCAGAGGTAGAGCGAGAGCATCCCCTGCTGATCGGTTGTACCCGCCGTGTGCTCATTTTCATGATCAGGAAATAACGGAAACATCCGTCATTATATCAGTGTAATTGATATATAAATAATGCTGATACATTTTATCAACTTTCTTTGTCATAATTTCGTTATTTCTCTATGATGAAAAGTCAGCATTTGACTGCATGATAGATTTAAGTGTTTTTATGTTGATGAACGTCCCTCTTGAGAATTTTTCACTCAAATGGAGAGGATTAAAATAATAGGTTGTATC